CGGGCGGGTGCTGCCCCCGGGGTTCCCCTCGGCTCGGGTGCCTTCCCAGGGACCCCCCCGCGCTGCCCCGTGGCCCCCCCCCCCGCCGCTTCCTCTGCCGCTGCTGTGTGGGAATGCAGGTACTTTGATGTGTATCATTAAATGAATTGAGCTTGGAAACCCCCCGTCTCCGTCTCGCTGGGACCGGGGGGAGCCCCACCAGACCCCCGCGTCCCCCCGCCAGGGTCAGCCTGTCCCCACAGCAGAGCCGGGGGGAGCCACGCTCCGACCCAGCCGGGGTCTCCTGGAGACCAAATACAAACATGGGAGCGTGTATTTGACCAAAAAAGAAAAAAAACCTGCAAATTATATTCCATTTTTGGTTGGCAGAGCGCTGCCAAGCCGGGACACACGTTGGAGCGAAGGCTCCGGGCGTTGCAGGGTGGTGGGGGGCTCTGGGGAGCTTTTGGGGTGCATCGAGGCCACCCCTCAAGAAGATGGAGCCCCTCGGACACTGGTGTGACCGGCTCCGTGCCGCCGGCGAGCGAGGGGACGCGTGGCCTCTCAGACTTGGTGGCCTCTTCAGCTGGAGAAGAGCGGGCTGAGAGGGGACTCAGCGATGCTGAGCAACAGCTACAGGGGGGGGGACAGCACCAGCACCCCGGGTTGTCCCCATGTCCTGGGGTCCCTGGAACCATGTGGCCCTCAATGACGGGATCCTTGGGATCCCTTAGTCACTGCATCCCTTGGTCTCTGAGGTCCCCTGGTCCCTGTGTCCCCATGTCCCTGTGTCCGGAGTGCCAGTGTCCCTGACACCCCATGTCCCAATGTCCCCATCTCCTGGGGCCTGATGTCCCTGACAGTCAGCATCCCCAGGTCCCCATGTCCCCGGTACCAGCATCTCGGTGCCCCAGGTCCCAAAGTACCTGGCACCCAGTGTCCTGATGTCCCAAAGTCATCCCAATGTCCATGTGTCCTGTATCCTAATGTCCCTGAAACCTGCTGTCACCGTGTCCCCATGTCCTGATGTCCCTTAAACCCACTGTCTCCATGTCCTGGGTACCAGCATCCCTGTGCCCCAGCTCCCAAAGTAACTGGTATCCAAAGCCCGAGGGAGCTGGGCCGGGGCTCCCTCCCGCAGACCCCCCACACCTTCGTGTCACCCCCTCGTGCCACGCCGTGGGGTCCAGGAATGAGTGTCACCACGGGGGGAGGACACACACGTGGCACTTTGTGACACCCCGGCAGGATGCTCCGCGTGGGTGACGACACGCCGGAGCCACAGAAATGCCTTTTCCAGGAATATTTTTTTTTTCCCCAAAAAAGCCACGTCACCCTGCACAGGGTCGTCCCGGTGGGGTGCTGGCCCTGTGTCCCCACAGCAGAGCCGGGGGGAGCCACGCTCCGACCCAGCCGGGGTCTCCTGGAGACCAAATACAAACATGGGAGCGTGTATTTGACCAAAAAAGAAAAAAAACCTGCAAATTATATTCCATTTTTGGTTGGCAGAGCGCTGCCAAGCCGGGACACACGTTGGAGCGAAGGCTCCGGGCGTTGCAGGGTGGTGGGGGGCTCTGGGGAGCTTTTGGGGTGCATCGAGGCCACCCCTCAAGAAGATGGAGCCCCTCGGACACTGGTGTGACCGGCTCCGTGCCGCCAGCGAGCGAGGGGACGCGTGGCCTCTCAGACTTGGTGGCCTCTTCAGCTGGAGAAGAGCGGGCTGAGAGGGGACTCAGCGATGCTGAGCAACAGCTACACGGGGGGGGACAGCACCAGCACCCCGGGTTGTCCCCATGTCCTGGGGTCCCTGGAACCATGTGGCCCTCAATGACGGGATCCTTGGGATCCCTTAGTCACTGCATCCCTTGGTCTCTGAGGTCCCCTGGTCCCTGTGTCCCCATGTCCCTGTGTCCGGAGTGCCAGTGTCCCTGACACCCCATGTCCCAATGTCCCCATCTCCTGGGGCCTGATGTCCCTGACAGTCAGCATCCCCAGGTCCCCATGTCCCCGGTACCAGCATCTCGGTGCCCCAGGTCCCAAAGTACCTGGCACCCAGTGTCCTGATGTCCCAAAGTCATCCCAATGTCCATGTGTCCTGTATCCTAATGTCCCTGAAACCTGCTGTCACCGTGTCCCCATGTCCTGATGTCCCTTAAACCCACTGTCTCCATGTCCTGGGTACCAGCATCCCTGTGCCCCAGCTCCCAAAGTAACTGGTATCCAGTCTCCTGATGGCCAAAAGTTGTCCCGATGTCCCCAAGTCCTCCCAATGTCCATGTGTCCTGTATCCTAATGTCCCTTAAACCCGCCAAAGTACCTGGCACCCAGTGTCCTGATGTCCCAAAGTCATCCCAATGTCCATGTGTCCTGTATCCTAATGTCCCTGAAACCTGCTGTCACCGTGTCCCCATGTCCTGATGTCCCTTAAACCCACTGTCTCCATGTCCTGGGTACCAGCATCCCTGTGCCCCAGCTCCCAAAGTAACTGGTATCCAGTCTCCTGATGGCCAAAAGTTGTCCCGATGTCCCCAAGTCCTCCCAATGTCCATGTGTCCTGTATCCTAATGTCCCTGAAACCTGCTGTCACCATGTCCCCGTGTCTTGATGTCCCTTAAACCTGCTCTCCCCGTGCCCTAAGTTGTCCCGATGTCCCCAAGTCCTCCCAACATCCATGTGTCCTGTGTCCTAATGTCCCCAAAACCTGCTGTTGCCATGTCCCCATGTCCTGATGTCCCTGAAACTCACTGTCCCCATGTCCTGGCAACCTACATCCCTGTGCTCCGGGTCTCAAAGTACCTGGCACCCACTGTCTTGATGTCCCAAAGTCATCCCAATGTCACAAGGTCATCCCAATGTCCCAAACTCATCCCAATGTCCCTGTTTCCTGCGCCCCGATGTCCCTGAAACCCCCTGTCCCCATCTCACCATGTTCTGATGTCCCTTAAACCCACTGTCCCCATGTCCTGATGTCCCTGTAACCCACTGCCTCCATGTCCCCATGTCCTGCGTCTCATGGCTCCATGGCCAGTGCCACCCCCTGGGCAGGTACTGGGGGACCAGGAAAGGTGCCAGCGTGTCCCCACGAGCCATGGAGGTCATGGGGGCCACGGTGTCCCCAAAACCTGATGTCCCTATGCCCCAGCCTGACCATTCCCCACACCGAGACCGGGTCTCGTGGCTCCGTGGCCAGTGCCACCCCCTGGGCAGGTACTGGGGGACCAGGAAAGGTGCCAGCGTGTCCCCACGAGCCATGGAGGTCATGGGGGCCACGGGGAGGCAGGACGTGGGTCACGCTTGCATGGATGGGAACAGAGCTGGGGACATCCCCGGCTGCAGAACTCACAGACACCTGTGTCCCCAAGGGAGGTTTTGGGGGAAAACCCCCAGTGTCACAGGAGAGGGACAACTGCTGCGGCGGGACATCACCGCGCATGGGGCAAGGTCTCACTCTCTCCTTCCCACCCCTTTCATTTCCAGTAACAGGGGCCGAAACTTGGCCTTTTCTTCCCCATTTCTCCGCGGTTCGGTGCTTTCACTGCACGTGGCCAGCCCTCCCCCCAAAATCCTGCTGGTCCCCGGAGGGTGATGGGGGGACCAGGACATGCCAGATCCCAAGGTCTCACTCTCTCCTTCCCACCCCTTTCATTTCCAGTAACAGGGGCCGAAACTTGGCCTTTTCTTCCCCATTTCTCCGCGGTTCGGTGCTTTCACTGCACGTGGCCAGCCCTCCCCCCAAAATCCTGCTGGTCCCCGGAGGGTGATGGGGGGACCAGGACATGCCAGATCCCATGGAGAGCAGCATCCAGGGCCACCAGCTATGGTCTCCTCCACAGTGGGACACGGGTCTCACGCGGTGGCTGCGTGGCAGAGCCATGTTGGAGGGGCACAGCCCCATGGCAGCACTGCTGTTCCCCCCCAGGGACATGCAGGACCCCCCCTTTCCCATGGGGAACCCTGTTTTCCCCCATGGAGAGCAGCATCCAGGGCCACCAGCTATGGTCTCCTCCACAGTGGGACACGGGTCTCACGCGGTGGCTGCGTGGCAGAGCCATGTTGGAGGGGCACAGCCCCATGGCAGCACTGCTGTTCCCCCCCAGGGACATGCAGGACCCCCCCTTTCCCATGGGGAACCCTGTTTTCCCACCTTCCACCAACCCAAAGTGCTCCCGAAGCAAAGGTGGGGACACTGTTGTCCCCCGTGTCCTCCCACCCCGGTGGCCACCAGGGCATCCCTCCCTCAGGGTGTCATCCCGGAGCTGCACATCCCTTGGGATACGGCTCCGGGGACAGCGGGGCTGCAGTGACCTCAGACAGCCCAGGATGGTGGCCGTGGTGGCACCAGGAACATGGTAAGGACAACGGCGGGGCTGCAGTGACCTCAGACAGCCCAGGGTGGTGGCCGTGGTGGCACCAGGAACATGGCAGGGACAACAATGGTGGCACACAGAGGTACCAGGAGCACGGCACAGACACTGATGGTGACATGAGGGGTACTGAGAGCGTGGCACAGGTACCGATGGTGGCATGGAGAGGTACCAGGAGCACGGCATGGACACCAGTGGTGGCACACAGAGCTACTGGGAGCACGGCAGGGGCACCGATGGTGACATGAGGGATACCAAGAGCACGGCACGGGCACCAATGGTGGCACACAGAGGTACCAGGAGCATGGCAGGGACACCAATGGTGGGACACAGAGGTACCAAGAGCATGGCAGGGATACTGATGGTGGGACACAGAGGTACCAGGAGCACAGCAGGGACACCAACGGTGGCACACAGAGGGAGGCAGTGACCCAGGCTTCACAGCACGCTGCTCCTGGCCACCCCACGGTACCAAGAGCATGGCAGGGATACTGATGGTGGGACACAGAGGTACCAGGAGCATGGCAGGGGCACCGATGGTGGGACATAGAGGTACCAGGAGCATGGCAGGACACTGCTGGTGACATAAGGGTACCAAGAGCACGGCAGGGACATTGATGGTGGGACACAGAGGTACCAGGAGCACAGCAGGGACACCAACGGTGGCACACAGAGGGAGGCAGTGACCCAGGCTTCACAGCACGCTGCTCCTGGCCACCCCACAACTTTTGCTTCTCATCATCACGTCAGACACGGGGCCGCGGGCCGGAGGTTTGTGGTCGGCGCGAGACACGGGCTCCGGGGCAAGTGGTGGAGCAGCAGGAAGCTGTGGGGATGTCTGTCTGACGAGACTTCCCCGGCTCTGCCACGTGCTCCGGCTCTGCCCTTTTAGACCCCCCGTGTCCCCACAGCCCCCGCAGTGTTTCACCACCAGAAGCCGGTGCCAGGAAGGGTCTTGGTGCCGGGACTTTGCCGCAGGTCGCCACTGCCATCGCCACACACGGCGGCTCCCGGAGCCTCCAAGGGGACATGGTCTCTGCCACCCTCCAGCTCTCTGTCATCTCCCTCAAAAAGGAGCCCGAAACCCAGGACAAGACCCCGGGTGGCGTCACCCCGTGGGACGGCAGAAACGCTCCAGGAGATGGGACGAGCCCCACGGCCGCAGGGGGGAAGCTCAGCCTCAGCAAAGGACAAAGGTACGGGGGGGGCAGAGGGGCAGCAGGAGGCTTTACGTTGGCTGGAAGGTATTTTTTCGGGGGGAGGAAGGAGGGCCAGGCATGCCCGGGCAGCCAGAAGAAGCCACGTGGGGAAGGAGCTGGTTTCTCCTCGCTGAACAAAGCCGGTTTCGCAAGCAGGAATCCCCAGGGGGGTGAGGGTGGGGCAAGAGAGAGCTCCAAGGGTCCTCAAGGGATGGCATCAACGTCCCCAGACCCCCCAGACAGCCCTGGGAGGGTCTCCTGGGGGGGAAGACAGACCCAGGGACCTGGCACAGGGAGCACCGTGGCACTAATGGGAGTCGTGTCCCTCTGCTTGTTGTCCCTGCAGCGTGTCCGTCACCATCCAGCAGGTCCCCATTCCCAGGTATCCCTGGGAGGGCGAGGGCTCGGGGCTGAGGATCCTCCTGGTCGGGAAGAGCGGGGCAGGGAAAAGCTCCACCGGCAACACCCTCCTCGGGGTCCGGGCGTTCAAGTCCGAGTTGGCCACCGAGCCGGTGACCATCAGCTGTGCCCGAGTCCAAGGGTACTGCCATCACGTGAACATCGACCTCATCGACACGGCCGATATCTTCAACCCGAGAGTCCCCATCAGCGAAGCCTACAAAGAAATCACTCGTTGCGTCTGGTTGTCCTCCCCCGGCCCCCACGTGCTGCTGCTGGTCACCAGGCTGGGCCAGTTCCTCAAGAAAGACAAGGAGGCCGTGCAGAGGCTGCAGGACATTTTTGGGGTCAATGTTTTCAGGCACACCATTGTCTTGTTCACCCACGCGGAAGACCTGGGGGGGAGGTCGCTGAAGGATTACCTGCAGTCTCATGGCAGCAGTGACCTCCAGGACCTGATCCTGCAGTGTGGGAGAAGGTACTGCGGCTTCAACAACACAGCAGTGGGTGCCCAACGGGACCGGCAAGTGGCAAAGCTGATGGAGATGGTCTACCGGGTGGTGTGCCAGAACAAGGGCAAGTGGTACAGCAACAACATGTTCCTGGAGCCCTGCTTAACAGAAGAGAGAGTGGAGCGTCACATGAGGAGGCACAAAGCAGAGAGGAAGGTGATGGAGTGGTCCAGGTCTATGCCGTACAGGATAATTATGGGTTGTGGGATAGTCCTCCTTGTTCTTGCTTTGTTTTGCCTGAATTTCCTTCTGTATCCCGCGTCCCGGATCTGGTGGTGGTGAGGAATCACAGGGTGATGGGAATATTGAGGCAGCAGGGACCTCTGGAGATCATCTAGTCCAAGCTCTGCTCATGCCCTAGAACTGGTTGAGCTCAGGACCATGTCCAGTTGGGGTTTGGAGCCCTCCAGGGACGGGGTCTCCACCACCTCTCCAGGCAGCCTGTCCCAGTGCTCGCTCACCCTGGGAGAAAAAGTTTCCTGATGTTTCAATGGAATTTCACAGTTTCCCTTCGTTGTCCATCCCTCTCGTCCTGCACCAGGCACCCCTTGGTCTCCATCAGGTGAGAGCAGGATCTTCTCAGCCTCTTCTTCTCCAGTCCAAGCTCTCCCAGCCTCTCCTCAATGCCCCGGTCTTCTTTGCTGGACCCTCTCCTGCATGTTCATGTCTGTCTGGCACATAGAGAACCACCCCCCCCATGGACACATGCAGCTCTCCAAAGAATCCTCACGTAATTATCACGTATTTCTGAGATTATAAACTAAAATACTTTGAATTCACCATGCTCAGCCAGGCACCATCCCACCGTGGTGCCATGTGGGGCCGTGGGCGCCCCGATTTACTGCTGTGAGTGCCACTGCTCTCAGAGAAGCCACCGAACACCCGCTTCTCGTGTGACGGGGACACGAGGGCTGGGCAGGGAGGAAGAGGAGGGACGGTGAAAGCCCTTCGAGCTCCTCGGGCCAAAGCGGTGCCTGCACCAGGGCACGGTGTTGGGACCTCTCACCCTTCTGCCACCGGTGTCCCTCAGGGAGCTGCAGGCGGGGTCAGCCGGGCAGGAGACAATTAATTTTCCTCCCCACATCAGTGAGATGAGGCTGGGGGTATTCCCTGCTCCTGAGACTGGGAAAGTCCAGCAAGAAACCAGCCCAGGGCGTCATCCCTCTACCAAAGGTCTCATGAACAGGCTTTTCCGGTGGATGCAGCGATAACGAAGTTAATTGTAGATAACAAAGCTCAGGGCGGGCGAAGGGAAGCACAGATAACCTTGACCTTTGCAGAAAGGGCAGCTCCCCTTCCTCATCCTCTTCCCCTCATCCCAAAACATCCCACATGGCCCAGGTTCTCCAAGAGGGAAGATGTCCTTCCATTGCCTGGTGGCCCTGGACACCTCCTCTGCTCCCTGGGGAGCAGGGACTCGTCACCCTCCATCCGAACCCCCCGGGGCTCCGCACCACGGCGGGAAGCAGCTGAATAAGGAAGCGGCCACCAGCTGTCATCGCAAGGGGGAAACACCACCATAAAACCAACAAATGGGGAAAAAAAAGTAATTAAAACAAAAAAAAACAGGGGCAAGAATTGCATTTCTAAACCCTTTGAGGTAAGGTCAGCCCTGGAAAGGTCGGGCAGTTGGACTAGATGATCGTCGTAGGTCCCTTCCAATGGAACTATTCTATTCTACTCTGTTCCTATTTCTATTCTAATTTTCTTTTGTGTGACATAAGCAAAGAATTAAAAATGGCTTCGATAATCAAAAAGTATATAAACGACTTGTGTGTCAAGTTTAGAGGAAAACAGATTTTGAAACTTCACTGGGGTTAAAATAAAGGAATTTCCTTCCAAACACATCCAGGAATGATGTTTTCCCATTCTTTTCACCCCAATATTCACAGGGTGCAGGTAATCAGGAGAAGTTAATGCTCCTGTAACGGCCCGGCACGTACAACCAGTACAGAAAAACTTGAAAACGAATTTATTAAAACTACCATTATGGGAAGGGAAGCAAAATTTCCACCTCTCGTGACTTCCAGCTCTCATTTGGAAAGAAATACTGGCCAAGCCTTATTCATGGAAATCATAACCCACGCCCTAAAAAGCAGGTATTACAACTTTTATCTTTTTTTTTTTTTAACCCTGGAATAACCGCAGCAGATTTTCAAATAATTTAGCAAAGGTGCCCACACGTTTTGTCCCAAAGTCAGAATTTTGCAGCTTTGGATGATTCTAGATTTTTTTTTCCAAGGGCTGGAGTTTTGAACTGCAGCGCTGGGAGACAGGGTGTGTGGGAGGAGGGTTCTCCGAGGTGCAAATCTGCTGTTTGCTGAGCAACCAGCCTCGTGTGGGCTCCCACCACGCTCCAACAGCTCTGTAATCGCAGAAATTGGGAAAATGTGACCTCCTCCCTATGGGATGTGCATCAGTCAGGTGCTTCTCCCTGCTGCTGCCCACACATCGGCTCTGCCTTCCTTCTTGATGATTTTCCTGGCCCATCAGACTAAAAGTGGGCTTTACTAGAACCAGTTTTGGCTTCCAAGTTGCCAGGTTGGGTGGCCACACCCCAATAATGGGCTACTCATGAAGCAGCCGCACCTCCGGTGAGGCCGGGGCACTGGGAAACGCTCCCATTTCCCACCTGAAAACACCAAATCCTGAGATCCATGTGGCCGCTGCTCCCCCAAGGCAGAGTTGGGGGGTGGCATCGGGATATTGGGGGGCACCAAGGAAGGGGGCGAGTCGGGAGCAGATGGGAAAAAAGAGGGTGCAGCCATCAAACACCATCTCCTGCGGAGCCAGGGGTGGGGGTCAGGACTGCCGGGACACTCCGGCCTCCAGCCACCGGTGCCCAGTCGCGGCCCTGCTGCCATAGGGATAAGGAGGAGATGTGAAGGGGGGGTGTCAATAAAGAAAAAGAGGAGAAAACGGCCTAATTCCCAAAGCAGAGGGAAAGGGAAGGCGACCGGATCCTTTCCACTGCCTCTGTCGTAACCAGGGGATGATCCAAAACCATCCCCGCAGGGAAAGAGCAACCCACGTAAACTCCACCTTGAGAAATACCTGGAAAACCTGGTGGAGGAAGAGGAGGAGGGGGAGGAAAAGGGTTCTGTGTTCGCACAGAGAGCGGCCAAGGGAGCTGGGGGGGTTCAGCCTGGAGGAAACGAGGCCGAGAAGAGACCTTCTCGCTCTCTACAACAGGCGTTATTACTAATAATAACTGTAACTGCTAAATAATTACCAATGAGGCAAAATTCACCTTAAAACACCCCATTGACAGCCCCTTTGCCCCCATACTCATCATAAAGAAACAACTGGCAAAACTTATAAAATAAGATGACCATCAATTAGCAATGAGGTAAAAATCACCTTAAAAACTCCCATGGGGGGCCCCCCCTAAATAAAAACTCACCTTACAACCCCCCACACAGGCCCCTCTACCCAAAATTCACCATGAAGGACCAATTAGCAATCCCTCGCATGAAACAGGATTGCTAATGATGATCATCGCTGCTAAGTAATTAGCAATGAGGCAAAACTCACCGTAAAAACCCCCATTGACAGCCCCCCCCCCGGCCGTAATTCACCATAAAGAGCTAATTAGCAACCCTTAACCCAAGCACGATGGCTAATAAGGGCTCTGATTGATAAATAATTAGTTATAAGGTAAAACTCCGCGCGCGAGGGGGGGGAAGGGGGGGGGGGGGGGGGGGGAGGAGAGAAAACAAAGGAAAAAAAAAAGAGAAAAATAATGGGATTTGGATCTTTTGGTGGGTTTTTTTCCCCACACCAGTTGCAAATCGGTGATGGATGGAGCTGTGCTCCTGCCTGGGATGGGGGAGACGGAGGCACCCAGGGCCACCGAGCCCCAAAAATCTGGGCTGGGTTTGACCGGTGCCAACAGATGCCCAAAATCCCCACTGGGCACCCACAGCCCCATGTGAGGGGGTTCAGAAATAAAGATGATAATTCCAAAACCCCGATCATCTTCCTTTCACCATAAAAAAAAAAATCCACCAAAACTTATCAGGCCCCGACTCACCACCAGCTGCATTTTT